TCAAAAACTTTAGCTTTTAGGCAGACATGTTTTTCAAGATATATCCTCCTAGTGAGACTGGGAAATGAGCAAAAGTTTGCCCTATTTTTTCTTAATGATGCTCCTCTTTTGTGGTTTGCAAGTATTCTACTATCAAAGTTAAAACTAATGAGGGCTATTCGGGTAGCTGACATCCTGCCAACCCCCTTTATAGGATGAAAAAGAAAGTGATATGGAATTAAGTCTTATTGTAAGGAACTAATCCAAACCCAAAGCCCTCTTCTTCCCCATCAGCTCTGTGAGTTCTTGGAAGACTGATGAAGCAAAGTTCATCACCAGGAGTTTCTTGCCTGCCTTAGTTAGAGACTGCTACAGACAGAATTCCTAAGCACAGGCTCAGTGAGCTTTGCCAGCACCCCTCTGGAGAGGTATATGACACCTCCCCTGCAAATGCTCAACATTGAAAAACTGAAACTTTGTCCATGCATGAACTTAACTGGCATCAAAAGTCCTGGTATTAGGAATTTAGTTGCTTTGTGGTTTGAAAAATAGAGTGTTGACCCTTCCTAGCTTCTAGAATGCATATCCATGTAAAACTTTCAGCATAAATATTTGTTGTTCTATTATTCAAGAATATAAAGGAGGAAAAAACACTTTCACTTCAGTAAGAATCTCCTATGGCCTGAACTTGAGGCTTAAATAATATTTCTACATTAGCAATGAGCTAGGAGGTAGATTTTCCTATCAAAGGGAGGAGTTCTCATTAGCCACATGCCAGGAAGCTCTTTTTTTTTTTTTTTAAACAGACTTTGTTTTTGTTGTTGTTGTTTGTTTTTGAGACAGAGCCTCAAGCTGTTGCCCTGGATATAGTGCCATGGCATCACAGCTCACAGTAACCTCCAACTCCTAGGCTTAAGTGATTCTCTTGCCTCAGCCTCCCAAGTAGCTGGGACCACATGCACTCGCCACAATGCGCAGCTACTTTTTGGTTGTAGTTGTCATTGTTGTTTAGCAGGCCCAGGCTGGATTCAAACCTGCCGCTTCTGGTGTATGTGGTTGGCGCCTTAGCCACTTAAGCTACAGGTGCCAAGCCCAGACTTTGTTTTATAACAGCAGTTTTAGGTTCACAGAAAAATTGAGAGGAAGGTACAGAGCGTTCCTATTTATCCCTTCCCCCCCCCCATTCATAACCCACTCTGTCATCAACATCCCCGCCAGAGGGGTATGTTTGTCAGAACTGAAAAAATATGTTGTTATATCATAGTCACCCAAAGTCCATAGATTACACTGGCGTTCACGCTTGCTGTGGTACATGCTGTGGGTTTGGACAAATTTATTATGACTTGGCCCCATCATTACCAGGAAGCCTTTAACTCAAGGGTAGTAATCTGTTCACCACATCATTCAAAAATCATGAGTAGTTTGTGCATTTACATTGCTTATTTATATGGGTCACCCTGAAAAGGACAAGTGGAATTCAAAATAAGGAAATTAGAATAAATTTTCCATAATGAAGTATAAGTATTCCCAAATAGCTCAATATTTGTCCTGTGCAATATTTGGGATTATCTATATTGAAAATTTATTTGCTATTCATCTAAAATTCAAGTTTAACTGGGCATTCTGTATTTTATCTGGCAAGCAAAGCCAGATAGTCAAAATGAAGTCAAATGTCTTTACAATCAAGTGGGTGAGAGTGTTTCTTAAGAACTTGGAAAGTATCTGGAGGCAAATAAGAAGACTGTAAATGCAGATTCAAATCCTTATAACTCTAGTAACATAAAATTATGTAATTTATAGATTAATGAGTCTCTAAACCAGTGTGAGTTGTACTTCTCCAGCGCAAATGTTTTCCCATTAAGTTACATTAAAATTTTAGTGATGTTTCATCCTCATTTCTGATTAATTTTCAGTTGGCTACTAATCTTAACATTTTATGTTCCCAGGTTCCTAAGTTAATGATCTATTCAGGAATTTTTGACTAGACCCCAGGGAGCCAATGGTGTGAGTTCTTTTGCAAAACAAAAAGCCTTTTTTATTTTTTAGAATTTGAAGACTCTTGCATTTTGATTAATTATCCCTAAGATATCTGTTTTATTTATAAATTTAGATTTCTATACAAGTATGTTTTTTTGAAACTGGGCACATTTATATTTATTTCCTCTTTAATAGCTTTTAATTGAAAGAAATCTCAAATATTGATAGCATAAGTAGCCCATTGTTTAAAATAAGTCGTTTGTTTCTTTAAATCAGAGTGATTTAAAGGTTTTTGTTTCACTCTGTTTTTAAAGAAAATTTCCTAAAGGAAGTTCAGCTAGAAAGGAGTCAAAATGAAAGGATAAATTAAGAATGCTCTCCCAGGCCCCCTTGAGAAAGTGGGAGAGCCAGGCTGAGGTGGCCTGAGAGTAACTCTTCAAAATTGCAGGAAGCCAAGAATGGAAAGTCAGTTTGGAGATGGTTCTTCAGCAGGCAGGTGGGCAATGATCATGCCATTCAGGGCAGAATGGCTTTCCCAGGTGAAATAGGTTGTTTATTTTGGAGGTTTCATTTCACAACAGTGCAGTTGTCAGCTAAAGTCCTGGTATCCCCTTGAAAAATTAAGAACTCTTGCTTTCTGCCTCGCAAAGTGATCTGATACATTTAACTTACAGTTATCACACCAGATCCTACTCTGAAGCACTTGGGATTCATCAGGAAACAAGTCTAAGTTTCTGCCTCTTAGAGCTGACATTCCATCAGAGAAGACAGACAACGAATACCAAACCCAAGAAATAAGCTGGATAGCGTGTTAGGATGTAGTAAGGTTTATACTGGGAGGGGGAGAAAGGGGGTTGGGGACCTGGATTGGGGCTGGGGAGGGTTGTGTTTTAAACAGGGAGGCAGGATGGGACTTGTTGACTGTGGCATTTGACTGAAGACTTGAAGGAGATGATGGAGCGCAAAGGCCCTGAGTCCCTGGCTGTTTAAGCTGTGGTTCTCAACCCAGATGATTTTTCCCCCCAGGGAACATTTGCAAAGACTAGAGACACTGTGGTTTGTCATGGCTAGGAGGCAGGTGGGGCGGATGCTACTGGCCCCTTCTGGGTGCAGGCCAGGGATGCAACTAAACACCCTACCATGCACAGGATAACCTCCCACAGCAAAGAATAATCCAGGTTGAAAAGCCAGGGCAGCTGGAGGGGAGGGAGTAGGATAAAAAGTGGCCAGAGGTAAGCAGGCTGAGGAGGGGGATGGGACAGCCAGGTCTGGCAGAACCACTGCTACTCCAAGAGCATCAGGGAGCCTTGAGGGTTTTGAGGGGAGGGAGGTATGATCTAAGTTTTGTTTTAATAATATCTCTTTGGGTGCTGGGTGGGGCAAAGGGTAGGATGAGGGAGACCAGTATAGAGGCTGTTGTGGCTATCCAGGCAAGAGATGGTGGGGCTTCAACCTGGTTGGAAGCAACTTTCTGCCTTCTGTGCAGCTGAACCAGCTATTTCTAAATATTGGGCGTCAGACAACAGGGATTGCTTGGATTCCAATCCCAATCTGTTCATTATTGATGAACAGGGATTCTTGGGATTCAAATCCCCAATCTTTTCATTATTCTATAGCATATATTTTATATGCTATACAATATGTGGTTAAGTTGCCTTAGCTAGAGTTTGTTTACACATAGGATACCTAATGCATTTTAACTATTTAAGAGGTTAGGATCATAACAAAACAGCTTGACATAGGCGAGACATAATATAATCTTTCTGTGTTTTATCATAGTCTTGGCAAAGAACATTTACTCTTGCTAACAACTCTTCTGAGGTCTACAAGTATTTCTCTAAACCACTTCTAAACCTAAATATACTAATTATCTGAAAATGAGGCAAAGGGAGAATAAAAAGCCTGATGCCTAAAAGGTAGGGATTTGAATTGTTTTCCTCTTTTAGAAATGCATTACATTCTTCTGATAGTTTTCTCTTACTTGATTGGCCAAAGCAACTATTGGAATAGGACAGAAAACACCAAGAGATTCATCCTTTTACCCAAGATCTCAGCCCTCATAGCACCTCCTCCCCATTGGGATTCCCCCGAAGGGCACATCTCCTGACCTGTGTCCAGCCAGGGGGGCCATGGGGCAGCCTACAGCAGCGTCAGGACCTCACCCCTGGGGTCAGGCCCATATCTATCCACAAAGTGCCTCACAGTTCATTTATTCCTGGGATACATTTAAATACCCTTCTACAGTATCTCTGGGCTTCCATTAAAGTCATGCTGTTCAAGGGAAGTGGTAAATTGGTCTCTTCTTTCATGAAATAAAAGCTGTTTTTCCATTCCTTCATGTCTTTAAAGGAAGTTTTAAAATCCAGTTGCATTCCCGAGCTCTTCATTTGTTCTATCAGTATGTTTCTTGGCCCACTCAGCTGTGCAGAGCCAGGGGCGATTTCAGAGAAGAGCACTCGGTATTCCAGATGAAAGTAGTCAATGCTGGAAAGCTTCACCTTTTTTCACTTTCTAAGAAGTTTCTCCAAGTTTGGCCCATGGATCATCAGCATCAGAATTCCTCAGGGCCATGTTAAAAATGCAGATTCCTCAGCCCTCTCCAGGCCAATTGACTCAGGGTATCCAAGGGTTGGGCCCGGGATCTGCATTTCAGTGAGTATTTTCCTGCATGCTCACATTTGAGAACCACTCTAGGTTATGTGACCAGGCAAGAAAAATGGCCTTAAAGGATGGGCCTGCTTACAGCAACCTCTCTACAAACTCGTTAAAATCATGGGTGGTATTCAAAGAAAACTGTGCTTCTATGGATTTGTTTCCTACAAGGACATGGGTCACTACCTCATTAGTCTTCTCTTCCAATTAAATCATGTTTTTTCTGTACATTTTAACCTCTGTTCTTGGAGGATTACAGTGGACACTTAGCTTAATTGGCTGATGGTTTTAGGTCCAATTGTGGCTGACTTTAGGGGGCACTTTGATCTAGAAGATGGCTTGAAGTGATCACTGTTGTCTCATGTGATATTTTTTGTTTTTTTGTTGAACAGCAAATATGCCAGAGGATTACCCTGATCACTTCAATGATGTCATGGATTTTATTCAAGCCACCATTAAAAGACTGAAAAGGTCACCAGATAAACAAATGGCAGTGCTTCCTAGAAGAGAGCGGCACCGGCAGGCTGCAGCTGCCAACCCAGAGAATTCCAGAGGAAAAGGTCGGAGAGGCCAGAAGGGCAAAAATCGGGGTTGTGTCTTAACAGCAATACATTTAAATGTCACTGACTTGGGTTTGGGATACGAAACCAAGGAGGAACTAATCTTTAGATACTGCAGCGGTTCTTGTGATGCAGCTGAGACAATGTATGACAAAATATTAAAAAACTTATCCAGAAATAGAAGGCTGGTGAATGACAAAGTAGGGCAGGCATGTTGCAGACCCATTGCCTTCGATGACGACCTGTCATTTTTAGATGATAACCTGGTTTACCATATTCTAAGAAAGCATTCCGCTAAAAGGTGTGGATGTATCTGACTCCGACTCCAGAGACTGCTGTGTATTGCATTCCTGCTACAGTGCAAAGAAAGGGACCAAGGTTCCCAGGAAATGTTTGCCCAGAATGGAAGATGAGGACCAAGGAGGCTGAGGAGGAGGAGGAGGAGGAGGAAGAGGAAGGCAGCCGACATGGGAGCCTGGTAGAAGGAGATCCAGCTACAGACAACTGGACAGGAGAGATAAAACGGCCGTCTGGATTCTCCAGGGCAGCACCAATGTCACCAGAAGCTCAGGGCTGATATTCCTGGTTGGCTGTTGCCATTGTTTCAGCTGATACAGTCCACTGTCACTGTCCCGGGCGCAGTTGCGGATGCACTCAACCAAACCAGCGTATCTTCTGTGGTTTGTTTTCACATGTCTGCAGACACCAGGGAAATGGGAATCCCGGTGTCACTCCTTGTTATTACATTTTACTGCTGAAAGGAAGAAAGGTTATTTTTCTGTCACTCAGTGGAGACATACCCAGGAACAAAGAGGAGAAACAAATCAAAATAAGAAGCAAAGACACAAGAGAGAATAATCTTTGAAGTTGAAAGCTGAGGCCTGAGGTCTACTACAACCAGAGTTTTTGTGAACAGTTGGAAATTGATTTTGAACATGGTGTGTGGGGTGGGAAGAAATTGGCTAGAAATCAAAAAGGCTGTGCTCATGATTAAAAACAAACCTGAAGGTATTTCCTTTACGTCCTTGGAAACAGGAAACCAGTTGTGGTTTTCAGCAGCATTCTTGCAGGAGAGAAGTGGGGGAGGCCCCCAGCCGCCTTGGGCAGGGAGCCGCCTCAGGCCTGTCAGTTTACAGAGAGACAGATGTTACATACCCAGCTCCGCTGATGCGTGGTCACCAGTGACCAGAGAAGCTACTCGATGCAATGCATCTGTTTCAGATACAGAAATATAGAGAAGAATATTTATTGAGATTTAAGTTATTGTTATTTATTACCATTCACTAATGAGTTTCTTTTTTTTTTCTCTTATTTATTAAAGTTTCTTTTCAAAGGTGCCAAAGTACATGTGCTCGCAAAATGCAAAGAAAGGTGACAAAAGGAAATTCGAATTGGGAACAAGGGTCCATGCTTTACCAAGTATTAAAAAGTTTTTTGCTAGGCAAAAATCACTTACTTTACCTTTTTAAGAAAATCCATCAATTTCCCTCGATTTCAGCATTAAATTTTCCCGATTTAAAAAAAAAAAAGAGGAGCGTCCTGTCAGGCCCCCTTTCCTGGTGGCAGCAGAGACCATTGGCACTTGGTTTATTTCTTCATTGCTCCATCACTGGATAGAAATGCCACATGCTCCCGTTTCTGTTGTATTTAAGCTCTTACCCCCTCCACATGTATCTATAATATGCATAACCATATATATAAAAGGTTGAATTCCTCTTACCATAGTAGGTAGTCTAAAATTTAATTTTGACCTAAAAGTAAACAATTCTGTCAGGGAGCCAAGGTTTTGCCAGACACCGTGGAGACTCTTCCTCCATCCTGGCCCCCACTGCCTTCCTGGGATAGCTGCCCTCACCCCATGCAAAGTTGAGGAGTCCATGGGGGGCCTCCTGAAAGGGGGGCTAGGCCCTCTATACACCAGACTGCTCCTGGGAAGAAGGTAGCTGAGAAGGGTGTGGAGGAAACCACCTCAGTGAGGCGTGTCCACACACACAGCCTTGAACTCAGAGTTTGCCCCATTTAAAGAGTAAGGAAGGGAGGAAGTGAGGGTGAGAACGGCAGTCTCCTACATGCTTCATATCCTGAATTTGGCACCTGACACAAGCACGAGGCACTAGGTCTTAGATTAGAGCTTGCTACGCATTTCATAAAAGGAATTTCCATCAGGGAGGTAATGTATCACCACCTGAGCAGTGCTTGGCCACAAAAGAATGACAATTTAATAATTGACCCACTGGCCTTCCTCAAATAATCACATTAATTTTACAAAGTAACCAAGCAGCAGACATCACCTCCACCTGCCAGAAGACCCCTGTTCTGCCCCTTCCCACCATCTCCTGGGGCCTCATTTATAATCAGTCTGGTCAAAACAGTGACAAACCTAGCCATTCGCTGGCAAAGCACAATTTGGATACAGTGCCGGGTCATCTGTCCAATCCATAGAATCCTGGCAGAGGTAGGGGTCACGTTCCCAGTTTCAACCTTGCCTGGTCCCCAGCTCCCCATGGAGAGTCCCTGCCCAAAAAAACTGAAGGATCCAATAGGCGTTGACAACTTGGTCCCAGCATCACCCACACACCATAAAGCAGGTTTTGAAGGAAGCAAATTGCTTCACTAAATCCACGAAAGGGTAAAGTTTGTGATTTTTCTTTATCATTGCGATTACCATCTGATACAGTAAGGAGTGCACTTCTTTGGAAGTTCTGATTTCTCTGATCTGTCTTGGTCGTTTGTGTTATACAACCAAAGTTCTCTACAGACTTTATTTTTGTACAATATCATTTTGTAACTTTTTACAAATAAAAACTCATTTCTATCCCTCTCTGTACTCTTGTACTTCCTGGTGTGCTGGACCAGGCAACCATCCAATGAGGGTTTATTATCAGCCGCCTCCTCATAACACACAGTCCACTGAATGGTCAATGGCATTGCCCATCAATTCCTGAAGCCAGTCACCACCCAGGTAAGAAAAAACCTACACAATTGTCCTTTGCTTATTTATTCCACACACATTTAAGGTGTGTGGACGCTGTACCAGGCACTGATGAAGGCACAAGGGATCTAACAGTGGCCAAAACAAAAATCTCTACCCTGTAGGGTTGATATTTTATTTGGAGGGAGATAGACAATATTCCAAAAAGTAAAATATGTAGTGATCTAAGCAATGATAAATGCTAAAGGACTACAAACAGGATACTACACTAGGCAATAACAGGGAACCTGCTTTAATTAGAGGTGTCACTGAGAATGAACTTAAGAAATTTTGCCAACAAATAAAAAGGAGTGATGCAGACAGAGGAAGCTGCTTGTACAAAACTCTTAGTTATGTCACAGACCACCTTGTGACTAAAAGGTGGCATTGCCTGAAATGCACCCCTCTTTGCAATGCACACTGTCCCTCCATTGGGAGCTTGGAAGCAGATACTGGTACTGACTCAAGGGCCCAGGCATTTAGAGACCTCCTGCCAGGGCTTCTGGAAGAGGCTCATGGGCAATACTGAGGCCAACTGTGCTTTCTCTGGTCTAAGCCAAAATTCCAGTACTAAGTCAATGACTTGGAAAGGGAACAGAAAGATGGCAAAACTCTTGCTTACTTCCACTCCCTTTTTTTCCAAAGTGTATCCAGGATTACTAACAGGGTGAGATGTTCCCCCCCAAAAAAAAAAGAAAAATGAAAAACAAAAAAAAGAGGTTCTCTGATCAAATCACTTTGGAAAACATTGAGTTAAATAACCTCAACTCAATTTTTAAAGTTTAAGAGAGGACTGTAGAACTTATCAGAGCCTTCAATAGACCAATGAACATTTTAATAGTCCAAGAGTGTAGTGTAGACAATTTCTCTGTATGAACTTGACCATAAAGCCACTCATTGTTTTATTTTCTTTCTCATAACACTTGGTGACCACTCCTGGAAACTACTTTGGGTCATATTGCCTGTTCCTGTAAGCTTCAGGGTGAGTTGAAAGCTGGACTATCAGTAAAGAGGCAGAAACTGTTGGGCAGCTCCCTACAGAGCAGACACCTCTCTCCAAACACACATACATACATACTCTGGGTATTTGGATACTGGTGTCTTGCTCAGCATGAATAACAAAATGAATAACCTGTGATCAACTTTAGAAATGTCATTCAACTGAGAAAGAGAGACTATGTTGAAAGCTGGGAAATCTTTAGCAACAACAACAAAAAGAACTTTTACCATGCTTCCCAAAAATCATTTCTGGGCTCAAGTTGTTTCCGACCACGGGTGCTGTGCCTGGCTTGTGGCCCTGAGGACTTGCTCCACCTCACAGCAATCCTCTGGAGGATGCTGGATGCAGGACTCTGAGAACAGAGGAAGAATACCGGGCTGGTAGACCTGGACACCAGGCTCCCACAGAACTCCCGGGCTAAGGAAGTGCTCTGCAGCCTGGTATGCACTCAGCGAAGGAGGTTTAAAAACACTTTTCAAAGAATCAATTTGCTTCCAAGGTAAAAGTTGAAAACCAGAATTTCTTGAACCTAAGTCTCAAAAACAGAAAGATCCTTCTCCACACACAAGGTCCTCCTTGGGCTACAACTGATTTTCACTCTGACATCAGAATCATGAAAGGCAGGGAGCCCAAGACATCCCCTCCTCACAGCCCACCCTTGTTTCTCAGTGGGCAAGGAGGGGCAGGGAGGGGACACAGGCCTAGGCTCTTTTCCATCAGGTAATGGAATGTCTGAGCCCAAGGTGTCTTTGGAACACACTTTGGTTAACAGAGGTGCTACTGCAATCCCATGCAATAGTTAACTCATCTTTAGTCTAAGCCACACAACATCCTGAATGAAATTAAAACCAAATGCTGCCAAGTCATCCTGAAAATAGATAGTTGGGGAAATAAAGAGATAGCACACATTTATTCCCATATGACAATTAATATGTTGCTGTGGTCCTGGGCCCATGGCAGCTGAGCATCATAAGGGTGGCAGCACAGGCTGGGGGAAGGTGTGACATGTGGGGACAGAGATGTGGAGAGAGTGCTCAAATGCCTGGGAGGGAGAAGCAGAGGGGAAGAAAAACTGGAAGGAAAATGAGTCAGAGACAACAAGTAGGGTTGTCTGATACAATACAGGCGCCCAGTTAAATTTGAGTTGCAGACAGACATGCATAATTTCTCAGGACAAGCATGTCTTATGCAATATTTGGGACATGTGATGTGCAGGACATACTCATAGTATTATAAAATACCTTTATAATACTATGGAGGAGCCGAGGCCTGCGTCCTGTCCCTGCCTCTGTGCTCTGAGAAGCAAGGGTGGGCTGTGAGGAGGGGATGTCTTGGGCTCCCGGCCC